GATAGCGATCAACAGTTACAGCAGCGATGGCCATGAACGAGTAAATCGCAAGGTAAGTACCGAATGGGTACAGCATAGCGCCGGTCGTACAAAACAGAGAGAGATTGTGTGTCAAAGCGGCCAAAAGGTGTGCGGCGCATAAGGGTTGGACGTAAATACCGACTACAAAGTCTGATAATGCCAGGGTGAAGAGAAATACAGCGGATGGTGTATGCAGTGAAGGTGTCCTTTTAATGGCCCACATGACCAAAAAGTTGGCTGTTGTGGCGATAAAGCTTGAGATGAAATTCAACACAGCCACTGCAATGGTTGGAGCCATTTTGACATTTTCCCCTGGAAAAATACCGAGAAATGTAATAGGGCAGTTGATTAAAGGGGTAGTACTGAAGTTGCTCGATGAATTCATTGCTTCTCTCAAGATCCAGTGGAAGAAAACTTATATCAAGCTGCGTGGAATAAGAATCAAATTACAGATTGTTAGCACGACTTACTTCGAATTCAAATTCGAAACACTTTTGTGCTAAAGTGCTATGCCTATGATAATTGACCAAAAATGTGATTAAGTCCTAAATGTGATCAGTTTTGGCCCTGAGTGCCACAATTTTCTTCCGTGAACAATTTTCCTTTTAAATAGTCTTAATTTCGAGAGATATCAAAGTTAAAAGTAAAAAAAAATATTGAGGAGCTCTTTTGACAGGGGTATGGATTGAAGGAAAAGGTAACGAACTATAATGAAAAGCATATCTTGTGTATGACACACAAGAAGAAGCATTTTGCTAATAACAGTCACCAGCCAAAGGCCCTAAAATGGAACTTTTTATCGTCAACCGTCAAACATACCTCCCCTCTCACTGAAACCTTCAAATCGGGGTTCTGTTTTATACATATAACAATCATGAGGCTAAAAAATATATTTTGATACATTGGAGTCGTTTCCCATTTTGTAGGGGCTTAGTGTTTTAAGCAGCTCACCTGATAGTGAGGGAGTTGTATGAGACCAAACTCTTTCCGCAAATTTCGGCTGCTAATCCTATTGACTCTTGGAATGGAGCTTGATAACCTCTCGCCGTTAAACTGCACTAAGGAGAAAAATGCATGCTGCCTTTACATCTTTATAGACATAAACACGCAAAAATTAATCAATAAAAGATCACCTGCCTCTGAGGCAATTATGTATTTTATAAGATTGAAAGAAAAACTTTGATGCTGTGCTTTTAATTAAAAATTTAGCGCTGCTGAAAGTTATAAAATCACACAAACGTTTTCCTGTGGTTGATAAATGAGGAGCTATATCAAATGTAAACTCAAAACAAGCCTTGAAAATTAATTATTTTTTAAAAAATATTCACTTAAAAAAGCCTCTTGGAGCCGTTCACGTCAAAAGTCTCCTGAGGTTGGGGGGGAATCTGATGATTAACCGTTTAATTGTTGCAATTTTAACATTTGATGGTTCATAATTTTTAGTGCCTTCTTACGACCTTTAACGGTTGACGGTTATTAGGAAGATATCAGTTTTTCCTTTTTAATACGAGTAAATAATTCAGACTTTTCAATTTTCTGAATCAGTTAAGTGAAGTGTAATTCTGAGACGTCACTGAATAATTGATTATTATTGTAGTTTTAAGCAAACCTTGGTTCGTGATGCTATAGGTGTAAACAACACTACTAGTATCAAGCAGAATGCATGCGGAACACGATATATGAACCTAGTGCTTAGCTCTTTGTTGAGTCTCTGTGGCTTAGTAGTACAGCGTCCAGAAGCGCGATTTCCGAAGGTCTCCGGTTCAATTCCTCGTGGAGAATTAATTTAAAGGTCATGAAAAATAAAGGAAATGATCACCAATGAAGGAAGCTCTTTATTGTCAAAAAAATTCTCCTTTTCAGTACCTTGGGAAATGCAGAGAGAACCGTATGGAAAATATGAATACCAATGTCAAGGTGTATATGGCTAAAACCTGGCAGGTGAAATGTTGTTTCTGGTTATAGTACATAATTATACATCTTCGGGGGGATCTCAAAAGCACACAAAAGCATCTTAGAATAAAGCAATTTCCAATTTATGATATATGTTGAAAATCAGCGTGGCAACACATTTATGAAAAGTTTTGTTATTACACCGACAAAGAACGACAAAAAGATATGTACTAATTTTTAAAAGTATTTTGAAGTCATAGAGAAGCATGTTTTGAAACAAGGGAGAGAATTCTCATTTAATTTTTTTTTTCATGTCCCCACAAACATACAATTGGAGCTTTTATTTCTTATTTGACCGTGTGATTTGTTGACTCACAAGTTAAGTTCCAGTCAGGTTAAATCCACACAAAAGCGCCTTCACTGCAATTTTTTGTTTGGTTTCGGTCTTATATACACCATTATCATCAGGTGAACGCGAAAATAGATCAGTGTTTTATTTTTTTTTTATTTGGAAACTTTACACTTTTGCTCCACGAAAACTAAACACGACCAGTCTAAAAGTCCGGTTGAAAGCTGAAAAATTTTCTCGTTTCAGAAAATATTTCTGGCATTTCTAGTTTTGTCATTGTAGCTCTGGATGTAAAAATAAGTAAGAAGATGGTTGGATATCTTAACGATGCCAAACGGCCTAGGAAAAAAAAAACAGAGAATTCGTTTCGGAATATATTACTGGTAACACTAGTTTTTTCAGTGTACCTCTACATGTAAAATACCTGAGAAGAAGTTTTGATATCTTATCGATGCCAAACAGCCTAGGAAAAAAAGAGAAGAGTTCGGTTTCCTGATGATAGAAGCTCATATCAGGAATACACGTAATGAAACTCTGAGATGGGTGCCCTGTATATCGGTGCTTCACAAGTAAATTTTTATGTATTCAATGTTATTTAGATTTGGATAAATTCTCTCTATCAGACACTATTATAACGATGAATGCAACTGGAAACACAACCTCTTCATCAACACACTGCCCTGTGACATTTGCTGGAGATGCATCAGGAAGATATGTTAACACTGCTTTGCCCTCTGCGTCCAGTGTAGTGACCGTCTTGTCCAGTTTTATCGCCATATCAGGCAACTGTTTATTGATGTAGGCCAAAAAGGTGCAACCTCGTTGCAGGCGCCGTCTTCAGTTTTACGATTCTTGCCATGTCAGACCTCTTGGTGGGACTTTTCGTCCAACCTTTCTGTGCAGTGTACTTCATCAGCAATATGACTGCTAATCCTTCCTTGTATTGTTCCCTGAGATTTAATTTGCTCCCTTTGAGTATCTTTCATTCTTTCATTTTGTTTATAGCCATTTCAATCATAAGTGTGGATCCATACCTCGTCTCTCTTTACATCTGCGAGATCCTCCATTGTGA